TTTTTTTTTTTTTAAAGTTTACTTATTTTGAGAGAGACAGAAAGAGAGTGCAAGCAGGGGAGGGACAGAGAGAGAGGGGGGCACAGAGGATCTGCAGCAGGCCCTGTACTGACAGCACAGAGCCCGATGTGGGGCTTGAACTCACGAACCACGAGATTATGACCTGAGTCAAAGACAGATGCTTAACTGACTCAGCCACCCAGGTGCCGCTGAGTATACCTCTGTTTATCAAATTGAAGCATTCTGGGACCAACTCTGGTTGCCTGAAGGTGGCGGCTTTAGGATTAATACAAGGCAATAGAGTTGTACCTGATGGGTAGTAAACTTTGTGGAGTAATCATTCTTAAGAGGCGTGCAGGCTGGAACATCACAGGATCTGGAAGAGCTGGGTAAATGCACAGATATAGATGGGATGGGTTAATCAAGAGAATTTAAGGGTGTCTGCAGCAGGCTGGATGCCTTCAGGGGTGGCCTCACTTGGGATCACCTTCGCTATCCTCCCTCCGGCCCACTGAGAGAAGGAAATCCGAAGTAAGCATCAGGCCCCCGGAGCTTGGGAGGACACAGGCTGGCCAGTGTGGCAGGGTGGCAGCTTGCGGGCGCTGCGGCGAGAACCTGCAGCCTGGCTGTCCTCGGGGAAACCCAGGACCAAGTCTGCTTCTGCCACCAACTGGCTCTGTGACCTGAGAAAAGTCACCCCCTCCCCAATCAGGTGTCAGTGTCGTTATCTCTTTGATGATGCCATCATCTCCATGATGATGGGGTTGGACTTGGTGGTGTCTAAGACCTTTCTAGCTCCTAGGGATGAAGTGCTGGGTTTAAAGTGCAGCAGAAGATGTCACATGTGGGATGCTGAGCCGTCAGCTTGAGTATCTCCCAAAACTGCCAGGAAGGATGGGCTGAACTGAATAATATGTTCAAATGACTCAGTGGCGGCAGGGGGCGGGGGGGTGGGCTTTAAGGAAGGATTTCCTGACTGTGAGATGTGTGATAGTCTGGAGTATCTAGTCAGCAGAGACAGTGGGGTCTCCATCTCTGGAGACACATGAGTGGAAAGGAGACCACTCTACTTTGGCTCGTTTAATTACAAAGATGACAACCATGGCTGGCGTTTACTGAGTGTTGATTGCGTCCTAAGTGTTTGCCATGGATTATCTCATTTAGTCCTTGCACTAGTCCAATGGGCATAGGTGCTGTTGTTATCCGTGTTTCACAGTTGAGGAAGCTAAGGCACATAGAGGTTCAATGACTTGCCTGAGGCCACACAGCTGGGAAGAGAGGGAGCTGGGATTCGAACCCAGGCAGTCTGGCTTGCGTACATACTCTTAAGTGCAGGTGCATCTGCCTGGAGGCATACAGATTTATGGTAGCTCATGTTTTCCGGTGGAGTTTTCTCTGGGAGCATGGAGAGAAGTTACAGTCCATTGGGCTGCCAGCTCTGGGATTTTTAAGTTTATTTATTTATTTTGAGAGAGAGCGGGCGAGACAGTGAATATGAATGTGGGAGGGGCAGAGAGAGAGAGCAAGAGAGAGAGAGAGAGAATCCCAAGCAGGCTCCTCACTGTCAGTGCAGAGCCTGATGTGGGGCCCAAACCATGAGATCGTGACCTGAGCCAAAACCGAGAGTCGGACGTTTAACCGACTGAGCCACCCAGGTGCCCCTGGGATGTTTTAAGGCAGGCCCTGAGCAGGAAGAATGGGGTGGGGAAAACACCTGGCAGGGGGTAGAGAGTACTTGGGGAGAAGGGCAGTGGTGATGGCAGTTCTGCTCCGAGGTGAGAGGTCGAGGGCTAGGCTTCGTTGGTACTGAGGCCCTGATCCCCCAAGGGCACCCTGGCACTGGGGGATGTGGGGGCCTCAGCAGGCTGCACTGACCCATCCCTGCTTCCAGGCTGAAGAAAGGCATGGCAACATTGAGGAACACCTGCGGCAGCTGGAGGGGCAGCTGGAGGAGAAGAACCAGGAGCTGGCAAGGGTGAGGGCACCGGGCCGGGGCTCTCGGTCCCCCTCCCTGTCCCCAGGGCAGCCTCCCAGGATGGTGGGAGCTGGGAGGGGCCTGGCCAGGGACAGAGCCATAGAGGGGCAGAGGAGGTGGTCAGGTGAGTGGGCTGGAACTGGGGGGGAATGGATGGCTCCCCGGGAAGGGCCTGGGGTGACCTGGTGCCAGGTGTGCTGGCTTTGCAGGTGCGCCAGCGGGAGAAGATGAATGAGGACCACAACAAGCGGCTGTCAGACACCGTCGACCGGCTGCTCAGCGAGTCCAACGAGAGACTGCAGCTGCACCTCAAGGAGCGAATGGCGGCCCTGGAGGAGAAGGTGCGGTGGGACCCCGGCCCGGGTGGGCGGGGCTGCCAGGGCGGGGCGAGGGGTGGGTGTGGGTGGAGCCGGGCGGGCCCAGACGGGAGGAATCAGGATGTGAGAGGGTTAGGGGCGGGGCGTGTCCATTCCGCAGACACTAGTGGACTGACCCCAGGGAGGCTGGGGAAAGGAGGAGCGGGAAGGGTGACGAGGGGGGGGGGGGCACGGGCTGGCCTGGGGAGGTGGGGCGGGGAGGGGGAAGGTGCGGGGCGGAGTCCCTAGCTCGCAGCTCTTCTCCCCCAGAACACGTTGATCCAGGAGCTGGAGAGCTCCCAGCGGCAGATCGAGGAGCAGCACCATCACAAGGTACCCAGCTGCCGGCCAGCCCCCCCAGCCTGGGAGGGCCGGGCTTGCGGTGAGGAACACGCCTGTGTTTCATGCAGCTGCTCTGACACCCAGCACCACGCTAGTCCGGGCACAGACGTTATTTCACTGATCCTCGCTAGAGCCCGTCACGGTGGGTGCATCACCACCCACATGTAAAGAAGAAACGGAGGCCATAAGCATAGGGCATAGGGTGGGCAGCAGAGAGGCAGGGCCCAGGGAAAGATTTGGTGGGGCCCTCAAACCTGGTAAGGCAGGAGTCTGGTGATTCTGGGAGGATTAGGCACTGTGCCTGCCTCAGCAACGTCTGTGAGGTCTGGGCGGGCACCGGGCGCCCCTCTGCTGCCCAGCCTCCATTGCCATGCGTTTGTGTGGTGGTGAGGGCTCAGCAGGCCTATTCCGGTAGAATTCTTACCCAAGACAAACCCTCTTCCGGCCCTGCCCCTCTGCTTGCCCACTGCCGACCTTTCTGCTCCCTTTCCAGTTGGACCTCTTCTCTTGGTGTCATCTGTGAGCCTGGCCGGGGGCCCCTGGCTTTGGACTTTGCAGTACATTCTTCTGCTTCTCCCCAACTCTGCTGTCCTCTCTGTCCCTCTCTCCCCTCTCTGCCCCTCCCTGGTCCCACCCCCACCCCGGGTCTGCCTGGCACAGGGCCGCCTGTCTGAAGAGATTGAGAAGCTGCGCCAAGAGGTGGACCAGCTGAAGGGTCGAGGGGGGCCGTTTGTGGATGGCATCCACTCCAGGTACTGGAGCGCGGGAGGCTGGGCGTGCTGGGATGGGGTCCTGGATGGACCCTGAGGAAGGAGACTTCCTCCCACCAAAAGACCGCCCAGGACCTCAGGGGTCCTCCTCCTATCCAGGGTGGGACACTGAGGCTCCAAGAACTTGGTCAAAGTCACCTAGCTCACTTGGGCAGCTTAGAAGGAGCACCTGTCCTCTGAGCTGAGGGATGCTGAGAGGCAAGTAAAGACAGGATGCTCCTTCCCCAGTGCCATGGGACACAGGCCATGCTGTTTTCCTTGACAGAGGGCATGATGCCCTTGCAAGGGGTCTGCTGAGTTACATGCTCACCCATGTCCCACAGGACTTGCTCATGGCGAATGTCTGGTTCATTCTAGTTCTTTTGAGTCACCATCTTTAGGGCTCTGAAGGATTGTTGTTTGAGAGTTAAGGACCGCCTAGGTTCAGGTAGCAGGCAGGGGGCAGAAAGGCAGCATGAGAGACTGAAATGAGGCATTAAGGACTTCCTTACTGTTGGAAGTTGAGATGCCATGTCCATGGTTGGTGATATCCCTTTTTCCAAAAACATTTGAAGAGATGGTGAGTGGAGCTTTCTACCTAGTGTTTGAATTAGGTCCATGTTTTAGGGAACTACTGGATTCCCCCCCGCCCCCACATTTTGCAAAGTCATTGACATTGAACTCAGACCTCAATCCTGCTACTTCTCTGCCCAGAGAGGCAAGGTGAAGACTGAAGATACTAGTAGGTGATGCCACTTGAGGTTCATGGCTCCTGGCTGTTTTCTTTCCAAACCAAAGTGTCACAGAAGAGAGTCTCACAGGTTCCCTTCGGTCGTGCTCTTGCCATATCAGGGAGATGGGGATCAGCTTCCCTGAAGGAAATGGGTACATGCATATATATGTGTGGAGGGGTAGGGTTTGAGTTAGGGAAAGGGATGTTGACTTTGAAGAAGAGAAGCCTGTGGCTGTCTGGAATAGTAGAGATGTAAGTACCATCTTCAAGGTCATCAGAAATTGTTGTATAGGAGAGGAGTATGGAGAGAAGCAGGGAGTGGAAACAGGAAATAGTAGGTGGCATTCCTCTGACTTCTTCCTTCCCATAGGTTTCTCAGAAGAGACCCCCCCCCCCATAAATAAGACATGACTTAGAGTGTATCAAGCCATTTGCCACTGCTTGCTTTCCTTAATGGTTGGGAATTCTTGGCTTTGACCGTAGCAATACAGGACCCATCATGGAATCGGGACTGAACTGCAGGGGAGGAGAGGGAGATAAGCAGAAACTCCCTTTTCCCTGCAGCTACCTTGTACAATCCGCTGTAGGCTTGCCCTGTCCCTTTGCCCTGGGCCCCCTCAAGGCTTCCAAATTGGGAAGGCATAGGGAAGAAGTGTCACTAGGGAAGGCTTCCAGACATTCCAGAGCATCATAACTGGGATTCTAAAATCTCGGAGTTGAAATAGACCTTTGGGGCATCTCTAGCCCGTGTCTCTGATACGGTATCAGGGTGTCCTGAAGTTTCCTGGGGGTAGGAAATATGCCTGGGTTGAATTTTGGCTAGGGACTCTTCCAGATTATGGGGAAACCCAAGGAATGTTGCTTAGGAGAAAGCGAAGAAACAAAAGCCCTCAGGATTAAAAGGAGTTTTAGAGATCCTTCCTTCCAATGTCTCTCAATGCCGGGAGCTCTCCCACACCATTCTTGTCAGGGCCCGAGAGCTGCTGCTTGACTAACTCGTTGATGGGGAGCTCAGCTTTTTAAATTTTTGTTTAATGTTTATTTATGTTTGAGAGATAGCCTGTGTGGGAATGAGCGGGGGAGGGGGGGGCAGAGAGAGAGGGAGACAGAGGATCCCAAGAGGACTCTGCACTGATAGCACAGAGCCCGAGGCAGGGCTTGAACAAACTGTGATATTGTGACCTGAGCTGAAGTCAGACGCTTAACCAGCGGAGCCACCCAGGCGCCCCACCCCACTCCACCTTAAACGTTTTTTTAAAAAATGTTAATTTTTGAGAGAGAGAGACAGACAGACAGCTTTTCTAAAGCCACCAGATGCATCCCAAGCCAAATTTTACCATTCGTAGGTGCTTCTTATGTTTTCTTTAAAAAATTTTTTTTGAATGTTCATTTATTTTTGAGAGAGAGAGAGAGAGAGGCAGAGCGTGAGCCGGGGAGGGGCACAGAGAGTGGGAGACACAGAATCCGAAGCAGGCTCCAGGCTCTGAGCTGTCAGCACAGAGCCCGACGTGGTGCTCGAACTCACAAACTGTGAGATCATGACCTGAGCCTAAGTCGGACGCTTAACTGAGCCACCCAGGTGCACTCAAGATGCTTCTTATGTTAAATGGAAAGCTGCCTCCCTAGAACTTTCTCCCCTGGACCATTCTGATCCCTGGGGCACCAGAGAATAAATCGAATCTTGTTTACATGGCAGTCCTTAAACCATTTACAATAGCTCTATGCCTGCTAAGACTTCTCTTCGCCAAACTGAAGATCCTTTAACCCTTTTGACCTAGCGGGTGTGAGCTGGGGCACTCAGTCTTCAGGGCTGGCCTTTTCTTCCCCTGAACACTCAAGGTCGCATATGGGCAGTGCAGCGGACGTGCGGTTCTCCCTGAGCACAGCCACCCACGCGCCCTCAGGTCTGCATCGCCGCTACTCGGCACTGCGGGAGGAGTCTGCCAAGGTGAGGGGTGGAGGGGTGAGTGTGGAGGGGTCTCCCCAGGGAGCTTGGGGTCAGTTCAGCCGCGTGCCTGGCTCCAGTTTCACAGACGGCTGGCGTGCGGTGCAAATCCTCCCCCTCCCGTCCCCCCGTGTGGACAACAGCTGCAGCCGGGGTTGGGGCCACTGTCAGCTGCAACAGCTGTGCCCCCTCACTTTGGCCTCCTGGTGGGCAAGCGGTAGGGGCTGGCGGGCGGCCAGCCAGTCCCTGAGGCCCCACTGAAGTGTGTGCACGTGTGCCTGGGCGTGCAGGCGTGTGTTTCTAGTGGTCGGGGTGGGAGATGCAGGGGCCAGACGGAATTGGCAAGCTTTCTGGAACAAAAGCTGTGGTTTGTGGGGGAGTTGAGGGAGGGATGGCAGGTTAACTGGCCCTGGGGATGGCACCTGAAGTTTTCTGAGAAGCAGCTTCAAGTTCATGCTGAGACTGCCTGGGGAACTGGGGCGGGAGGAGGGAACGAGAAAGATAGGGGCAGAAAAGGACCAACTTCCTCTTTTTGGGGGGGCAATGTGATTCTGTTTTAACCCCATAATGGTTAAGCATGCTTTGTCTTGAGCCCGGGCCCTCTACATGCGCTGAGGCACTACAACATACATGTAGAGAAGGGGGAACTCCTAGCCTGATAGGGGAAGGTTCATCTCTGCCCTTAGGAAAGCCCCAGTCTGATGGAATCGCAGCCTGAACGAAGGCTTCTCATTCTCTCTCCCCTTACCCTTTGCTCTTTCTGTTTTTAAGAACACAGCAGGTGCCCAGGAGCTAGAAAGGAACCCTAAGGGAACCTTGGGGGGTTGGGTCCCGGAGGATGGGGTTAGGGCACCTCTCTGTCTCTGATCCCTTTCCTTTTCTTCCCCTGCTCTTCTGGCTCATTCAGTTCTGTGCTCTTTCTTCTTCCACGCCTTTGTCCACCGACGAGGTTTGCAGGTGCCTTCTGGGAAGCCACCACCTCTCAGGGTTGACTACAGGGCCCTGTGATGTGCTGAAACTCTGGGAGACACAAGGCAGTCAGGACTGCTTGGTTTCTCTTGTCGCCTGGGTCTGGTTACTCTTGGAGAGTTTGTGTTAATAGAAAGGGATAGCCTACATACGGTGCTTACTTTGTGTCAGACACCGTGCTAAGTGCCTCACATGCATTTTCCTCACTCAGTTCTCATAATTACTTGCAAAGTAGGTTCTACTACTATCCCTGTTGTACAGATGAAGAAACTGAGGCACAGAGAGGTGACATAGCTTTACCACAGTTGCCCGGCAGGTTTCAAAGCAAGGCAGTCTCTCTCTGGAATCTGTGCCTAACCACTCTGCCACTCTGGCTCCTTGAATTGGAAGTATTACGTCTTAGACTTTAACAGGCACATAAATCACCTGGGAATCTGGTTAAAATGCAGACTCTGAATCATGAAGGCCGGGGGCGGGGCCCGAGATTTTGCACTTCTAACAAGTCCCCCGGAGATGCCAGTGCTGCTGGTACAGGTGGGGAGGGTCCTGCTCCTCAGCCCGTCTGTTGTGTCTTATTACTACCCTTCTCCCCTCCTTTGCTAAGGGCTGGGAGCCCTCTCCACTGCCTGGGGTGCTGGCGCCCACAGCCACCCCTGCCTTTGACAGCGACCCTGAGATCTCCGACGTGGATGAGGATGAGCCAGGGGGTCTGGTGGGCTCCGTGGATGTTGTCTCTCCCAGCGGCCACTCGGATGCCCAGACCCTGGCCATGATGCTCCAGGAGCAGCTGGATGCCATCAACGAGGAGATCAGGTTAGGGCAGGGGTGGAGGGTCTGGGAGGTACCTTGAAGGACAGGGGCCCCTTTGGGTTTGGGCACTGCAGGAAAAATTCTTCATGTATTTGCTTGTCTCCAACAGCTGCACCTTCGAGTGCTTGGTCTAGGGACTCTGTGTGTGTGTGTGTGTGTGTGGGGGGGGGGGTGGTCTCAGGCCCACTACTGGACGGAGAGGGGTGGGGTCTCAGACTGACTTCTCAGACTTCATTTCCCCTCCTAGGGCTTGGGAGGCTGTGTTCCTGCAGCTAAATGTCATCGCTAAGAGCCTAGCTCGCACTTACTGAGGTCACCTCAGGGTGAGAGCTTTGTATAAATGCTGCTGTCAGTCTCACTAGCCTCTGGGGGAAGCAGCATTATTTCCATGTTACAGACAAGGGAACGGAAACCAGACAGGTTAAGTGATTTGCCCAAAGCCACAGAGTAAGTGGCAGAACCAGGATTCAAACTCAGGTCTACACTCAGTGCACTGTAGCATGTCTTCCATCCCTAACAAGACATCAAGCGGAAACCAGTGGCGGGGAAAGTTACCAAGCCCTGTACTTTACCCTGCCTTTGTAGGGGGGCTATTAATGTTTATCACCAACGGCAAGGGAGAATCTGAGCCCGAGTGCATCAGAGCTTTAGAGGGCTATCAGGGGCATCTGGTTCCGTGGTTCCCACACTTTTGGATTTCACAGACCAGTTAAAAGGAAAACATCATAACACACACACACACACACACACACACACAGGCCTCCAACTTTTATTCTGCAAAGGCAATCGGGAATGGTAGCTGCTGTTTCCTATCACAACTATTGTACAAAAGAAAGGGCATTTTAACATTCCCTAGTGTCAGAAGACACTCTCAGGATAAAGACAAGCCCTGCTCCCGGAGGACCGAAGGCATGTTACGTCAGCGCGCGTGTGTGAGAGTGCGCACGCGCTCCCCCTCCCCCGGCCCTCCCCCCTCCCATGGTCATCAGTTTTCTCATTTTTCTGTCTAACAGGGAAAACTCCTTCGGGGTCATTGTCAGTTAAAGGACAACGGGTTTGGGGAAGGACCTGGGTTTGGGAACTGCTGGCTCGGACCCCTCCTGGCGTTGGGGATATGGGGAAACTGAGGCCGGAGAGCCTGACTCAGGGTTGCCCGCATAGTTAGTGGTAGGTCAAGAATTCTGCCTCCCAGGATGGCTTGTATGCCACTGACTACATGCCTCCTTTTCCCACAGCTTCTTTTGGTAGACTGGGGAGTTTTGTTACGTGAGGCCAGCTGACGAGAGACGCAGAGAGAGGGAGAGAGAGAGCGATGTTTCTGAGCTGCGGTGGGCAGGGCCGGCTGGGTCGGCGAGGCCATGCCAGACCCAGCGTGGCTCCCCCACCCCAGGCATGGCCTTCTGCCCGGGGTCCCAGGGTGGTGAGCGCGGACGCTGCCGCCACCGGCCTCCTGCTGGGCCTCGGAGGGGCCAACTCAGGGTCTGGTTTCCCCAGGATGATCCAGGAAGAGAAGGAGTCCACAGAGCTCCGTGCCGAGGAGATTGAGACTCGAGTGACCAGCGGCAGCATGGAGGCCCTAAACCTGACCCAGCTGCGCAAACGCGGTTCTATCCCCACCTCTCTGACCGCCCTGTCCCTGGCCAGCGCGTCGCCTCCGCTCAGCGGCCGCTCCACGCCCAAGCTCACCTCCCGCAGTGCAGCCCAGGACCTGGACCGCATGGGGGTCATGACCCTGGTGAGAGTCTTGGGGTGGTTGATGAGCGGCCCTGTCATGGCCGGGCTCTGCGTTGGGGGCTGGCCGAGGGGAGCTGCTAAGGCAGGGGAGGGCTCCCTCCCCCTCAGTTGGGGCCGGCATCTTCTTCCCATGATGTGTGCAGACCCCGGCATGTCAGGCCACCAACGTGTCCTTCTGGGTTTGGAAAGGGCCTGTCATGTCTTCCTGAGCCCTCTCTCTTGGATAAGCACAGAATGCGTAAGACACTCACCCCCTGCCCATACCTCTCCCTTTCTTCCAGAGGCGGCCCTGACTTACTTCATCAGGCCAGCTTTTTTTCTGCCCTCGTATTCTCTCAAGGCCTGTGTGAGGCACTGAATCCTATCTTCTCATCCTAAGACCACCAGGTTCCCCTTGGGGTTGACTTTCAGGCATCCAGAGGGTGATTCTGAGCTCACCCTTCACTCTCTCTTCCAGCCCAGTGACTTAAGAAAGCATAGGAGGAAGCTGCTGGTGAGTGCTGCCTGAGGACCCAGGTACTAACGGGTTAATTCTCCCAGGCCCTTCCCTTTCGGCCTCTCTCCCCTGGGCCCCTGAGTCTGAGTCTGGGCTCAGAGAGGCCCCAGGCCTTCCCATTGCGTTTCTCCAAGCTCCTCTGCCTTGTCCGGGCTGGGTAGGCAGGCCCCAGATCTCTCCCTCTATCCCCTGACGGCTTCACTGTCTGTTCAGTCGCCAGTGTCTCGGGAAGAGAACCGGGAGGATAAAGCCACCATAAAATGTGAGACTTCTCCTCCTTCCTCACCCAGGACGCTGCGGCTAGAGAAGCTTGGCCACCCAGCCCTGAGCCAGGAAGAAGGCAAAAGGTAAGTGGCACGGGCCCCACCTTGAGTCTCCCTACCGCCATGGTCACGTCCTCCCTGTTTCAAGAGAACATCTCACTTCTCTTTGAAATGCCATCATGGAAGGACATTCCCACATCTCCTTTGGTCACCTGCTCTGATCATACCCGCCCCCCACCTCCAACCTCCTGTTAAGTTCTTCCTGAGGTCTAACGTCCCTGACTCCTGCTATAATTAAAGTATGTTTCTTTTCATTCCACCCGCTCCTGGCTGTCATCCTGTAGTGCTTTGGAGGATCAGGGCAGCAACCCCAGCAGCAGCAACAGCAGCCAGGACTCCTTGCACAAGGGTGCCAAGCGCAAGGGCATCAAGTCGTCCATCGGCCGCCTGTTCGGGAAGAAGGAGAAGGGCCGGCTGATCCAGCTGAGCCGAGATGGAGCCACGGGCCATGGTTTCTGTCCACTTCCTAGCGAACGGGTGCAAGTAGGGGGGCCAGAGCAGGAGGGTGTACTCAGATCCAGCCTTCTCCCCCTGCCTCCCAGGGGCCAGTGGGTGGAAGGCACAGCCAGGCAGATTTCGGCTCCAGAGAGCAGCGGTTTTCCGTGAGATCTGTTCCGTGAGAGCCCCGGGCTGCCTCGGGAGGTGCTAGCTCCTGCCACAGAGGCTCCAGGCTGCAGGGAGGGAGGTATTTATTTGGAGCGATGTGGAAGGTATTTCTGTCTGGAGCGAGAGATTGGCCCTCTGAGGTTTCTTTCAGTTTGGAGGTTTTCGGGTGTTCTCAGGGCCTTCGGGAAGAATTTCTTGGTTCTTTCTTTAGGAGAGTCAGTTCGTGATTGGAACTTATTTCTAGTATACCTGACCCTCGGACGCAACGTATCGTAATGCCTCATTATGGCTTCGTAGACCTTATATTCGCGTAAACGCTTGGGAAAGAGCATTACTACCTCTGTGCTAATATAAAAAGTTCTCGTACATGCTTGGCACATGGTAGGTACACAATAAATGTCAGCTATCTTCCTTTGCTTCTTCCCGCCCCCTCTCCTTTCTGTCATCTTTTCAATCATTTTTTTCAACAGACATTTATTAACTGCTATATACAAGGCTTAGTGTTGGGTGTTGGAGCAGTAGGCCATTCCTTCAAGGAGCTCAGTGTCTAGTGGAAAGGAAATAATAAAGAGATGATTCCAAAATAGTGTAATGATAGCGATATGCTTAGGGTGCTTCTGGAACTCAGAACTCAGCCATGGAGTGGTAGGGATGCCAGCAGTGGCTTCCTCTGCTAGGTAACAGGGCTGAAGCTTGAAGGCGGAGTAGGAATTAGCCCAGCTAAGAAGAGTTGTATGTGAGGGAACCGGGGATCTGGGAAAGGCAGCTTCTGGGTGCAAGAGCTTTGTTTGCAAAGGAGTCTTTTCAAAGTGGGAAGAAAGGGGTGGGAGGAGTGGAGGAGATGGCTTTGGATCCTAGGCTGGGGCCAGCTCATAAGGGCCTTGAGAAGTTCCCCCAACGCCACGGGAGCATTGACAATTGTGTGCAGGGGGACTTGGGAGCATTGACATTTGCGTGCAGGGGGACCCGATCAACTAGAAGAAAGGAACGTTTGAACCCAAAGGCATAATTAGACCTTGCACCTCAGGGAAGGTGTGAATCAGAACATAGCTAGCTGGGTGAGGAGGAGGAGGAGGAGGAGGAGGAGGAGGAGGAGGAGGAGG